GAGTAGTTATTTCTACTATTTGGTCTATTGTAGTGATTTTGTGATGAATTATACGTGTTTCTTCGTTCTGGTGATCTTCCTCTATAACTTGAGTTATATGGGGATTGATTTCTTGTATAACTTGTATTGTTCGGAAGTGGCTTTCCTGAACTGTTGTTGCTGTATACATTTTTGTTTGGTAGATTTTGATCTTTTTTCATGTATTGATAGAATGATTTATTTGGTTCTTTGTATTTTTGAGGTTTATTTTGACTATCTTGCTGTTTTTGTCTACATTCGGAAATACTATGTCCGTATCGTCGGCAATAATTACACCATTTTTTGAAAGATGGTTTGCCTTTAAAGTTCGGGTTCTTTTCGTAAATATTGAGTATTTCAGTGATTTTTTCAACGAGATCTGTTTCTGATTCTTGTATATTATTAATATTAGTGGGAGTCGTTTCAATTTTGTTAACGTATTGTAATTTCAGATTTTCCGTTTCTTCTAGTTTCATCGTAATTTCTGCTTGTTCTAGTTTGTCTACTAGTTTTCGAAAATCTAAATCGGGTTCTCGAATTGAAGAAGGATGGGATGCTCTCTTTTTTATTGCTATTTTCCTTAATTGTGGTGTTAAGGTCATCATTAAGATTTCTGTCATCTTAGTGTTTTTATAGTCGTGTGTATTTAGTGAATATGCTTTTCGAACTAGTGTTTCGATTCTTACTGCTATTTGCTTGATGGTTTCGTTTGGTAATCTGCGAATTTCATTACATAAAACTCTTTGTTGTTGTTTGTTTCTTTCGGAGTCAAACATTTTTGAAAATTCTTGTGTAAATCTTTTCCAGTTTGATTTTATTTCTTGAGGTAGTACTGAAAACCATTTTTGGGCTGCGCCATCTAAGGTTGTTTGTATTAACGCTGTGCGTCGATGTATCCAATTTTGATGTAGTGGCGTATTTATTGGTTCAGGTCCGATATTTAAAATCAGGTTTGCTGTTACTGCATTTAAATAGTCTTCTACAGAGTATTCAGGGTCTGTTCCTGTGAAAACCATTAAAGGTTTGTTTGATGTTATTGATGATCCACCCATAAGGTATGGATTCATTGTCATTTGTAATGATTCTGCTGCATTTGGCATTTGAGAAAAATTTGAAAGTTGGTTTCTTGTTATTTCATGTTGTTGAAGATAATATGGTAGTGGTATTTCATTTTGCATTTGTGATGGTTGATACGAGTGTGCAATCATTGGATTTTGTTGTTGAATTGGTTGAAAGGATTGTGTATTAATTGGATTTTGTTGTTGAATTGCTTGTTGATGTTGTGCATCTATTGGTTGTGGAGAAAAATTCCTATGATTTATACGTGTTTTCTGTATTCCTTGTCTACGATATTCTTGAGTATTTTGTGCAAATATATCTGGTTGTAGGAAATCTTCATCTGAGGATAAATAATCCATTTGATAAGATGTTTGTTTTTTATTTTTATTTTGTTGAAAAAATGGGTAATTTTCACTGCGATCCTGTGGAGGATTTGGTTGAAAATTATTTGAATTATATTGGGCTGTTGGGTTATCCCAGTTTCGAGGTTTTGTATATTGATTAAAATTCCTTTGTGGTTGATAATTTGTTTTTGACGGATGTGTATAATTATAATTATGGTCTGCAAAGTTGTTTCTAGTGAATGTTTTGCGTGTTTTTGATGGTATTGTCACGGGTTTGTATGTTTGATAATCCATATGTGAATATTTAGGGGCAACCGAAGGTTTTACGGTTGATTGTAAGGTTACCTGTGTTTGTGAAGGATTTGTATTTCTTGGTGTTGTTAAATTTGGGCGTATTGGTGAAATACTTTGTTGTGTAGTTGTTGTGTGTACAATTTCTTCATTTATGAAGTGTGATGGTGTCTGGATATCTTGTTGAGTAAGATTCCTAGTTCCATTGAGGTTTTCATTGTGTATGACTGTAGAGTTTAAACTATTATTTTGTGTATCGGGTAAAAATGTATTATAGTTTAATGGTGTTGCATCAATTGTTAATGGTATTACTCTTACATAGTCTCTTATGTAAGATATTGTACCTATTGCTTGACTTGAGATTGATTGTGGGAAGCTTATAAATGCGGGATGAGACCATTCGGGGTCCCAAACATAATCTGATTGTTCTGTGATAGCGGTTTCATCGTTCGAATTTTGGGGTCTAAAATTTTTTCTTGCTTGTGCAATTAAATCAATATTGTGTGTGAAATAATCTATTATGAACCATGCTAAAATTTTTTGTAAATCGTGTCTGGTATGTTGTGAAACGTCGTCTTTCGTGAAATTTTCTTTAATGACGTTCAAATAACTAGAGAGTAGTGTGATTTCATGTCGTACTCTTAAATGTTTAGATGTGTCTGTCGGTGAGACATTTGTTAATGGTAGTTCATTTTCTAATATTGAAATATAACTATATATTATTGCGAAAACTTCATTGGTGAAAATGGAGTTTGCTCTTTGTGAGTTATGGTATTGGATGCTTTTTATATATTCTGAAAAGACTTTTGAAAATTCTAAATCGAGATCGTCTGTTTGAATAGTATATGTTCTATTATTATGGTTTGGGGAAGTGAATTCTATAGAGTAGATTCCATACTGTTGTGTTATGTTGCATATATCTTTTAGATAGTGATCTATGATTTGTCTTTTGATTTTTACATCGGGGAACTCTGTTTTACATGGACTAATTCCGGGTTCAAATAAATTTATGAGTAAATTTTGACAAAATAAATGTTGTCCTCTATCAGTATCTGCGTCTACTATAAAGGGAAAGATTTCATCATCATCTGGAGTTTCTTCACCTGGAGTGTGTGTTGAGCTCATTTTTTCGTTCGATGACTGTTAATATGTAATTATTAATGTGTCGAATTGGTTGATTCCAATTGTATAGATGTACTGGTTTGTGTTTGTACTGCTTTTTTATTCTTCTTTTTCCTCTTTGTGATGAATTTGAAGTTGTTTCTGAGTCAGAAAAATATAATTGATCGTGAAGTGGGTAATTTTTATCTACTGATTCTTTTAGTTTGTAAAGTTCGTCTAAACTGTTGGTTTCTGATTCTGAAAATGCGTTTCGATTCTTTGAAAATCTTTTTCGTGTTATTTGTCTTTGTTTAGTTATTATTTTTCTCTTTAGTGTTTGTCGTTTTGTGCGAATGTATCCAACTGTTTGTGTATGAGGTGTGATTACAAGGTCGTATTTTTTGTTATCTATTTCACAATTGTGTAAAATGATTGTTTGTTTATTTCCTAGGTTTTTAAATGACATAAGGTTTAGGATGACGGATGCAAAAGGTTGTTAAATGATTTCTATTTTCTTAAACTGTTAGTTCTTACGATTTTTTGGTTAGCTTAACCTGGGTCTTTTTGTTCAGGGTTGGAGAGAAAAGTATATCGATTCCGGAGAATGATTTTACTTTCTCGTGACTAGTATAAGCTAAGGTGTTAACTTACTTAATCTTACTTAAGGGAGTGATTGTGTTCAAGGGTTGGAGAATAGTAAATCGATCCACAAGGTTCAGGTATAATTAGAACGCGAGTAGTTCGTTAGGTACTATTTTAAACTTACTAAGTCTAAGATTTATCCTGGGTCTGGTAAGAGGGGGGGTCAAGTGAAGGATGAATAACCGAAGTTCTTCACTGCTTATCCTAATTTGAATGATTAGTTTTGTTTAAAAATTTCTATTAGTCTTGGGTTTTTAGAAAGGGTTGGATAGTGAATCGACGTTTGAGGTCGTTAGACACTAATTAAGTGGGTGGGGGAGAACAAAGTTGTTCTGTTTGATCCAAGGATAAGCCTTGATGATCAAATTTAAAATTTAATTAAGTAGAAAATGATTTAAGATCCAAGGATAAGCCTTGATGATCTGGTTTTAAAATTAAGTGACTTTAAGTTTTAATAATGTTTTAATTTGTGTAAAGTAAAGATTTAGTGTTTTTATGATATTAGTGGGTTTGATGATTGCTGTTATGTTTTAGGTGATGAAGCTGGAACAACAGGATGATTTATGATTACTAACCATTTATTGTCATGCTACTAATTTTTATTTTTATTTTCCAATAAATATTTTTCAAACATGTTTTGTATAATACTGCAGAATTTTAAGAAAACGATCTTAGATCTTTTTATCAATCGTTATTGTATAATATTAATTTTGTTTAGCGCCTGAAATGATTTTGAAGATTAGCTTCAAGGTTTTATGTTTGCAAATGGAAATCTAAATTCATTGCAAGTAGTATTCGAAATATAAAAGTTTGTTCTGGCTTTTGCCGAACTATCATATAACTATACGGCAAGTTTCTACTTTGTCGTATGTCGTCTTTGGTTCGATGTCTTCTTCCAATTCCGGGTAGTTCTATTATGGTTCGGAATATTGGCTCTGATCTATTGAGTCGGAGAGACATTTCAATTAAATTATTGTCGTATAACATTTTGTAAATGTTTTTGTCTAATTTCTAATCTATTCTTGGTTAATTCTAATCTAATAAGGTCTTGTTCGAGACTTATGGTCGCACCAGATGAGTTATGACTGGGGCGTAACTCATAGAGTAATTTCGGATAGGGTACACCGTCTGCTCGTCACGCTATCTTATTTTCGGCCGGATAGATTCGTGCAACTTCTTAGTCTAATACCGATCCTAATCTTACTCTTATACTATCTAGTCTCAGGTTGTTTAACTAGTCTCTGCTAGGCTCAATAGATCTAGGGTATACTGGTTTATTGCGGCTGCTGAAGTGCTCGGGAGAGTCCAACTAATTTCTAAGTTAAATTCAAATCTCTCTGGTGCTGAAATTACAAGTAACTTCAGCACTTACAAATAAGTGGGTTGTTAGTTAGATGGATCATGATTGGTTAATATTAAATACTTTACATTGGTAAAACATTTAATTTATCCAATCATAAAATATAGTTTAGATCAGGTTCCAGATTGCTCCTTTCAATAATTTTTGTCTGTTCCGACTTTTTGCTACTTATTATAATCTCTAACCTAAGACATTCATGCCATTGGCGTACTCCACTCCACTCTGCTGGTAGACTGTAGTCACCTCTCCTGTCTTGCTGTCGTTCACTTCCACAGCCTTGAAGCTGGTCCTCGCCTGCTGGAAACACGCCTGCACCAGATTGTCCGGAAACATGTTTCTAAACACAAACAGGGTTCAAATAAATAAATTTTTTAAAATAATATATGTAGAATAAATTCAAACACAAGTATACACAAAAAACAGCTTAAGTCAAACTCCTTTCTTGAAAAGTCTTCACAATTGGTCAGAAATTATTAACAAATTCTAAAAAAAAGTTACCCAATCTGTCAAGTTTGAAAAAATTGAAAAACAAAATCAATTTTTGCGCGGTTTGTGCGCTGTTTCAATCGAAAAAAAAAATGATCCTGAAGGTGCAAAATTTAGGATTTTTTCAATAAGAAAAGTGTTAAAACTTTGCACTTTCGTGATCAAAATACAAAGCGATCAAATTAAGTGCTTACAGATTTTCTTAAGCTTCTCAAAAAAGTATATCAATTTTAAGCATACGAAAAATCGACAAAAAAAGTATCCGAGTATACGAAAAAAAAGTATTTGAGTTTTTGCGAACATGTAGGGATTCAAACCGGGGTCAGCTATCGGGCACCTAATTCCGTTTTTGCATATTATTGTATCAGTCAACATGGTCACTATCACCTGACGAGGTCGAATAGTGCGTCGATGGTGTTTCCCTTAAATGCGTCTGGCTTCTCCGTGAACTGGTCCTTTGGGTTGGCCTTCGGGTCCCCCGGGTGGATGACTATGACCATGATCAGACCCAGAATTGTGGCCATGATGGTGGTGCTATAAAAAAAATTAAGGTCATTTCGATCAAACGGATTGAAGGCCAGCTTTTAAAAAATCCTCGAAGAAAATTTACACTTACGGTTTTGCAACGAGAAAAGTTTCAAAGAAAATAGCTGAATTTGGCACTCGAAGTATAAAATAAATATGATTTTTCGAGTCATTTTTAAAAAAAAATGAGATATTTAGTTTTTAACTTCTATTTTCTGAATTTTTCATACAAGTTAAAAATTTGCTAGAAATAATTCAACGATGAACTTCAGCAAATTGTTAGGTTAACTACTAAAGGTACTTATTTACAAATGAAAGGCTCCTTCGAAAAAACATCAGTGAAAATTTGTCTTAAGAGTCACGATAAAAACAGCCGAACAAAAAACGAGTCCGAGGTCATCTTGATCTGGTGTCTACTGTTCTGATTGCTTGCAGTGTGTACCTTGAAGAAGAAAGACCCTCATGTGCAAAGAACCGAATGCGCAAACAAGTTTCAGCCTATCAGAGCTCAGTGTTTAAAAACTCAAAAGAAATAAGCAATAATAAGTTCAGTCTCTGCTTTGGACATGTTAAAGGGCATAATTGGTAGACAACTTTCGCACATTCATTCTTTCGCGCTTGAGAATATGAAAATAGCCCCCCCCCCCCACCTACCTAAAGTAGTAGAGGAGTGCCTTGGAACCCATCTTCCCACTCGCTTCAGAGTCCAGGGCAGTTACTCCTGAAACACATCACAGACAAAACTAAGACTTGATAGTATGGCGTTGAAGGTGAAAAAGTTGATATGGATCTAGATTAGTGTAACAGTGATTGTCACGTTAATTGAAATCCAGGTTCTACATTTTAACCAAGGCAGCCGGTGGCGGTGCAGATTTTTGTAGAAAATTGTCCTATTTCAGTTATTGGCGCAAAAAATGTCCAATTTTTTTTCATTTTTCCTACAAACCTTGTGTTGTTTTCTTGTTTAGTAATAGTGAATGAAAATAGACACAAATTGGATATCATTGTATAGTTTGATACCTTAAAATAATTAATTTAAAATTGGTTATTGTTCTGACCATTTAAAAAATGGGGAGGAACTTTATATTCGGATGTGTTTGCTTTTTTCCTTTTTTTTCTTTTTTTTGTTTTCCACAAAAAATCAGCTACCACAAATAATCATCGCAGAGAGTTGAGGGACCTATCATATTAAGTCGCGATTTCAGCTCTTTCAGTCGTGATTCGAACGATAATTAAAAAAATAAGAAAAAAGATTCCCAAATAAAAAAAACGGTATAAAATTTTTGATTTTTTGTCTGAATTCGAGCGAGAAAAGCGAGCAAAGAAAGCGAGGGACACGCTTATTTATGCTTATTTAGGCAATTTACAATAGCTTATTTATGCTTTGTTTTAATTTTACTCGAGTAAAATTAGTTTTTGGAGATTTCTAATGCCATTTTGGGAATTACCTTTCAACCTTTTTTTCGATCTTCAAACTTAACGACCTTTTTTTTTAGGTGGAGGAAACGGATTTTCCAAAATCAATATAAATATTCCAGTTTGACCAAAAATTTGAAAAAAAAGAGTTTCTGGGAACTTTTTGAAAAATTGGACCAAAAAACGCGTTTTTTCGGCGCGCGTTTCACCCTCAAAATTAATATATTTTGGCACCGAAGGGGCCTTTAGAAAAACTCAAGTGTCCATCAGCCAAAATTGGAGATCTGAAAACAGTACAAGGGGAGTCGAATCCCTGAGGGGGGTGGCATCCACGAATTGCAGCTCTTTGCTAATTGAAACTACGAGCATTAAAACTAAGTTTAGGTTTTGAAACAATTCAACGCTCTTTTCAGGTTTTTAATTTCTAGTTTATTGTGAAAATATCATTATCACCGAAAATTACAGAAGTTCACGCCTAAAAGCTGTCCACTTTATTTGACAAGAACACTTATTTTGAAAACAAAACTATGGAAAACAATACGCGCCTAAATAAGCACAGATTAGAAAAATGAGATAGAATTTTTGAACGGCAGAAAAAACTGTACACGATTATTTGTGTTTTCTGGTGCTGAATTAACCACATTGCTGCTGGTAGCATATAGGGAAAAGTCGAAAAGATTTCATTAGAAACAAATCCAACCAACATAGTTTGATTTGTTATATAAAAGTTGTTAACAATTTTTGATATGTAAAAAGATTATCCATATTATTTTTCGAATTGACTACAACTAGAGTTAGAGCTGCAACAAAACAAATGACGTGCTTTATCATGAGAATATTCTCTCATGTGGCCGTTTTATGTTCTCTCTCATGTAAAAAAAATCCGTTTTGATTTAAAAAAAATCACTGAAACAAATGGTTCACTGATCATGACTCCATTGAGGCTCTAAGCGTAATTAGCGTCAAAATCCATAAACCGTTTGATTTTTTTTCAATTGAAATGCGGATAAATTTTATTTTTTTAATATTTCTTAAAATGCCAAATCAGAACAGTTTTTTGCATTTGATTTACTAGATTTGTTCCATCATAATGTCAATTTAGATGTACTATTTATCAATAAAATTCAATAATTTTTCAACGACAATTTTTTAGGCCAAATATTATCACAAAATCAAATTAAAAGCATACCCTAATTTTTTTCCAGTTTTTTCTATTCTTTAATAACCGAAAAATTTTAATGTAAGCAGTATAGAATCTGTATAAAATGAGTATATAAAATGGAGACAAAAATCGATTTAAATTGATTTTAACTGATTCTATTATTACTCGAAGTCTGTACAAAAAATTTCTTAAAAAAATTTTAAAGTGTATTTATATCGATTTTTGAGCTTTTTTGTATCAAACTAAATCATTTTTTATAGATCTTTGCTACATTATCTGATAAAATAGATTATATTCCAATTTTTGTCAGTACGGAAAGTTGTTAAAAAAATTACTCCTCATAAAAATCACGATTTTTTTGGAACAATGAATTAATTATTTCTGTTTATTTTGATTTTTTAAATTTTTTTTGAAATTTGCTGAAACAAATCAGATGTTTTATTAAAATTTTTAAGTGTTGAGAAATGGGAAAAATGGCAGAAAAATATCAAATCAGATGGAAAAAACATAATGTTACGAAAATGAGATTAAGCTGCTGCTGCTTCATAAATTGAATTTTTCAAATGGTTTGTGAATTTTGGAATACAGTTAATTTTGTTATATAAAATTTGATATCATTTTTTGATACAAAAAAAAATTATCCATCTTTTTTTTTCGAATTGAATACTACTAGACAGGGGCGGATCTAGGATTTTCTCGAGGGGGGGCGGATTTTCAAAAAATTTTCCAAAATTTTGACGATCTTTTTTTTTTTTTAGGTCAACCAAATTGACTTATCGAACTCTCCCAAAGCACTGTCTTGCCCCTATTTTGGCAAAATTTTTTGCGCCGCACTTTTTGAAAAATGTTGACAAAAAAATCGCGTTTTTTTGGCGCGCGCTCCCCCTCAAAGTTAGTATGTATTGGCGCCAAAGGCGCTTTTAGAAAAATTTTAGTGTCGGTCGGCCAAAAATGGATGGACTGAAAAAGTATCAAAGGGGGGACCCTTTGGGTCGGCAGGGGGTCGAATCCCTGAGGGGGGGGGGGGGGCGTCCGCCCCTGCTACTAGATTTGAAGCTGCAAGAAAAAAAATTTCCTGCTTTATCATGAGAACATTCTTTCATATGGCCGTTTTTGGACGTTTTTTTATCTAAAAAAAATCACTGAAACAAACAGTTCACAGATCATGGCTTCAATTAGGCTCTTAGCGTATTTTCCTCTCTTAGCTTATATAGCGTCATAATCCGTAAACCGTTTATAATTGTTCATTAAAGTTCATTCACTTATTATTTCTTTAAAATATCAAATCAGAACAGTTTTTTTGCCTTTTATTCACAAGATTTCTTTCATCATAATGTTAAATTAGATGTACTATTTATCAATAGAATTCAATAAAATTTTACTAACAATTCCCATTAAAAATACCGTGCCTTGAGAATTGGGAATAAAGGAAAAAGATTATCAATTTAGAGGAAAACAATGACAAATAAAAACAATAATGCGATTAAACTGCTTCTTTTTTTGCAAACACTTTCGCAATATTCTTTTTTTGCCATTTTCTCAAGCGTTTTTACAAGCCACCAATTGCAAAAATTGCTTTTTGCAAACACTTTCGCAATATTCTTTTTTTGCTATTTTCTCAAGCGTTTTTACAAGCCACCAATTTCAAAAAACTCAACGTCTGTGAAAAATGCAACCGTTAAAGATGGAAAAATTTTACAATTCACTTTTCTTTTTTCAAAATCATATTTAAGACTGAATGTTTCAATCAAAGTCCAGACTTTAAAAAAATTTGTGACTTTTTCAGATTTATAACCATTTTTTAGAGACAAAACGAAACTGTTTCTGATTTAAGAACTTGCCAACTATTTTGCTGTGCTTTTGTTTTCATTTTGGTATGTTGAAGGCCCTGTGTTATTTATAATTGTCATAAAAATTAACCCTAGAATAAATCAGTTCAAATAAACAACTCAACTCAACTTCAAATTTTTTCCATTTCAATAGAAAATGGTGCATGTTTTCGGTCACTTCACAATTTCTTGTTCCAAAAGAAATTGGCGAGCAAAAGGCCCCAAGGAAAATTCCTTTTAACGAGAAAAAAATGTGGACACAGAATGTCTTTTTGCAGTGTTTCGAACTGTTCTAATTTTAATGTAGTATCGATCACTTTCACCTCGATTTGTCAAAACTGCTAATGCAGTTTTTTCCCTTTAGTTGCTTTATGTTAGTAACAAAACACTCAAAAATTACAATTGAATGCTCTGATAAAAGCGCATTAAGACTGCCTGTTGCGACCAAATTTTTATTAGAGACAAAATAAACTTTTTAGAACCGAAGAAAAACCAGCTTGAAAGTTAAAATAAAATTTTCCCACAAAAACCGCCCACTCTTGTTTTTTATCCGCAAAGATTCAACAGCCAATAAAAGCCAACCAACATTTAAGTTAGGCTGCGTAAAATTTTTCATTCAAAAAATTAATAATCTGGAAAAAGCTGAACAAAAAGTATCGCGCAAAAAAGCATTAACTTTGGAGATGTATTTCAGGTAATCGAATTTGAATCAAAGGACCATTTTCTTTTTTAATGCACTTTGAAATGTGCATATCAGTGAAATTAAAATCCGTTTAATTTTTCAAGTATGGAGCACTGTATAAAATTAGAGAGATCACACGATTTCAGCTTTACCTTTGATGATGCAACAAAATATTGAGAGAATCAGTTTTTTTATCTGATACTATTTTCACTTTCTTTTTTGAGTGAATAATTCCCTGATAATTTCTTTTTCTAGAATGGGTCATATAATTAGGACAAATTGCAACCCGGGTTGTTCCCATCAAAAATTAGCGATCGAAATTGGAAAAAAAAACTTCAGTGCTTAATGAATTAGAGGTGTTTTAGCGATTTAAGCGTTGAATTTTCGTGATTTAGTGATTAATTATTTAAATACCTCAACCCCCTATTTACTCCCTCCCCCTCCTCGTTTTTACCCCTTTTCGTTTACAGCCCCGTCAGTTAATGCGGGGTGTGCGGTGTGGAATGTGTGGTGTGTAACGTGGGATGTGGAATGTGTGGGGAAGAGTTGTCCCCCTACGTTTAAATCTCTGCCCCAACTCCTAACTAAATTCGTAAATCCAAAGGAAATCGAAAAAATTGAGAAAAAAAAAC